ATGATGTATGGTGTAGGTGTGTGTGGTGTTGGGCAATGGACAAATAACAAACATTTGTGACCCGCTCTGCAAAAATGAGTCTGATGTCGCATAGCTTGAATTCCAGCTTTTACCACTTTTAAATGGAAACAGTGAAAATTTGCTCAAAATTTGGATTTTTTGTTTTTGTTTTATTTTGGTTGTTTGTATGTTTTAGTTCAGATATCTTACACAGACATTTGAATATTGTAAGAAAAAGACTAACAAATTTATGATTTTTGGTGCTTTTCTTGGTTAGTTACAGTGTATTTGTAATTTTTAAACCCTTTTTTCTTCATTGAGACATTTCTTGCTTTGCAAAAACTTGACAGAATTAAAAAAGGCACAACAGTGCAACCAAATGTCCTAGAGAGGCCCATGATATACCAAATGAAAGCTTATTTCATTCCCATTTTATTAATGTAGTTAACTCAAAATTTCTGTTTTGCCACAACAGACTCATTTTTGTGGAGCGGGTCACATTTTACCTTAGTGTTGCTTTTAAAAAACACTATTTTGAGAAATATGCACATTTTCACTCAATACTGCCTATAGTTACTGTACATTTTGTAATCTTAATATGGGTAGTTGTGAATTTATTGAACGTCAATTTGGTCTAAAACTTTCCTCGATGGTTCGGGCTGGTCCCATAGGTATATAAAATACCAAATTTGTAAAATCATATTTTTTTTTAAATGTGACTTTTAGACCAAAATGAGCCATAAAAACACAATTCTCCCAGTTTTACAGCTCCACATCATGCCTAATCTGAAAGTAGACATGTTAAGCTTTCTAATGATGTATGATGTAGGTGTGTTTGGTGTTGGGCAATTGGCTAATAACCAAAATTGTACCTTCATGTTGCTCGTAGAAAAACGATTCTGAGAAAAGTGCACATTTTCACTCAATATTGCCAATAGTTACTGTATATTTTGTAATCTGTAGATGGCTATTTTGAAGTTATGGAACGTCGATTTGGTCTCAAACTTGCCTCGATGGTTGAGGCTGGTTTCACAGATATCAAAAATACCACATTTTGAAAATCATATTTTGACCACAAATGTGACTTTTTAGACCCAAATGAGCCAAAAACACATTTCTCCCAATTTCCAAGCTCCACATCATGCCTTAGTAGACACATTAAGCTTTCTAATGATGTATGGTGTAGGTGTGTGTAGGCTGGGGCATTTAAACTCCTGAAATAAGCCTCTTTTCAAAGGTTCGCCCGCTCGCCTAAAAGGCAGCCAGTGATACTGATTAAAGGTAGAGTACATCATTTGTCATTTGTGCTTTTTTTGTAAGTAATCAAAATCTAAAGAAGGGTGCTTGACAACTTACCGGAAGAGTTTTTGCTCCGTGAATGCTTTACATTCAAAGAAAAAAAATATTCTAGGATCTCAGTTTCAATTCAATGTTGCTTTGTCATGTTTTGAATGGCGCCCGAATTCAGCGTCCAGGACACATGCTCATTCAGCCAATTGCAGCTACATAATGTCACGCACTGAACCGACAAATTATAGCAACTGCGCATGCATCAACGCTTGCATGCACACATTCTCGGCTTCACTGAATTAAAAACAAACTAGTAATGAAATTTCCACCCAAAAAACATCTTTAGACGCATCTTTTGAATTGACCTTCTTGTATTTTTTTTTTTTCAATACGACAGCATGCAAGAAAGAATAATTTCTTACGGAAATTATTAGTGCCATTACAATCTTTAAGGGGCCGTTCACAATTATCAACATTTTCACAAGTGTACAAAGAGTACACTTTTTCAAGACCCCCTCCCCCCTAAAAGTGTACGAAAAAAATGTTGATTTTTTTTTCACACAAGTCTATATATAGACACTTGCAAGGGTTTTTGTAACTTTTGTAGATCAAGTTTTTGGCCATGACATGTGACACCGGCCGTTAAAAACACGCAGTGGATACGGACTATACATGTACATACAAAGTACATTTTCATGTACGTGTGTAGGACAATGCCGCGCATGCTGTACACAATACGTTCATGGGATGCAATGCGGGGCCTGGCGCGGGGCGCGATCGGCTCGGCAAGTGCTCGATCGGCATCGATTGCGGCTGTCGGCTGTGGCGACGGGCGAGAAAACAGATCGACATTAAACAAAAAAAAAACCAGCGTTTATAGGCGGGCATTAACGGGCGAGAAAACATATCGACATTTACAAAAAAGAAAAAAGCGTACGGCGGCCATTAACCCCCTCCCCCCCAGCGTACGGTTTGTACGCTCGTGAAAATGTTGATAATTGTGAACGGCCCCTAAACCAAGTACGCTTTTCAACAATAATTTCTGCAGTTACTTTTTGGATAGCTGCAAATAATATACTCTTCCTTTAAAGAAAGGAGATTTTTATTTTTTGTTTTTACAATTAAAAAATGCATATTATTAGCATGATGTTTTTTAAATAAACGAAAATGCCTCGGGAAACAGAACATTCCATGGATCACCTTTGGAGGCTAGTTTTACCACACCACTCGAAGCAGTCAATATTAAATACTAGAAGCCTACCGTGTCCCAACAAGCACTTTAAAAA